CAGACTATTTCTCATACAGATAGTCTTCCAACATAGGGCACATTAAGTTCTGAGTTAATATTGAAAATATTTACCAGTGTATGTCATAGGCACCACCCCATATGAACAGATCCTGCTTAATGAGAATAGATGGTGCCAGGAACACTGAAGTGGTGCATACTAGTTGAAAAGCAGCCCTACTTCTACTAAATTTATGGTAGAAAAGGTAATTGCAGAGGGCTTGTGAGCTGACAGAGTTTTATGTGACATGGGTTGAAAAGTAAGGTATTGATTGGGTAGGAACAGGAGGCCATAGTGATTGAAATAGTATTGAAAAACTAAAGCCTTTCTCCAGAGTGCTATCCCTATTTCTGGCCTCCACCTTCTGTGAGAATAAGAATACAATCATGTGGAAGTTGATACATCTAAAAAAAATTGCCCAATTCCCAAAGGATGGAGAGATCGAGGAAAAGGGATGAATGGCATATCACAAAAGTTCAGTACATCTTTCTGATTTTATTCATTTGAATAGAATGTGTCATGAGTAATACTATCATAATTTAGAAGAACCAGAAGATCCAAATTAATGGAGCAAGTGACATGAAATTCTTAAAATCTATTCTGCTTGTTTTCAAATTCAGCAGATACCTTTGCATTAGACCATGCAGTTAAACACAAACAATCAAATCATTAACTTTTTCTTAAATTAATTGTATCCTAATCCTCTTGGAGATGATCTCATTTCTTTTCAATGCTAATTGGCATTCCTATGCTTCTGATCTCATCCACTCAAACATCTTGAGAAACTCTGAGTCACCAATATCATATTTCTAAATTTAAAAAGCACATGTTAATTTCCTTAACTCCATTAACACGAATTTTAAAAACTTAGATGAAATGTATAATTTTCTATACAAATATAATTTACCAAAAGTGGCCACAGTAAAGAAAGTCTAAACAGAGCAATTTCCTTGGAGAAGAAATAAAGAATGCTGGAAAAAAAAAATCTAGATTCAAATGCTTTCAGCGCAAAATTCTAAAATTTGTAAAGATTTGATCATCCCAATATTTCTTAAACTTAATAATGGGGGATAAAAAGAAAGTTTCATATTTTAAACAACTATAAAATTGAATAAAAATAGAACTATACATCATTTTAAGTTATGAATATCAATGTACAAGTATTAAAAACATATTAGCCAACAGATTTCAACTTCGTATTTAAAAATACATCATGATCGAATGGAGTTTATTCCAGAGCTCCAAGAATAGTTCAATATTAGCAAATCTATTAATATGTCTAAGGAGAAAAAAATGATTACTTCTATAGATATTAAAATGGCATTTATAAAAATCAACACCTATTATTGATTTTTTACAAAGCTCATTAAATGGGCATTGATAGATACTTCTTTAACATAGCAAGAAAGAAAGAAAGAAAGAAAGAAAGAAAGAAAGAAAGAAAGAAAGAAAGAAAGAAAGAAAGAAGAAAGAAAGAAAGAAAGAAAGAAAGAAAGAAAAAGAAAAAGAAAAAACTCACACACAGCATTTCAAAGCCACCATTTTATTTAATGGGAAGCTACTAGTAGCAAGTCTACTAAAGTTGAACCTCACACACAGCATTTTAAAGGGAAGCTACTAGTAGCAAGTCTACTAAAGTTGAACACAATGCAGGATGATTATTATTGTCATGATCCTTTAATATTACATAGGAGTTATTATATAATACAGTTAGATAGGAAAAGGCAACTAGAAGCCTAAAATTCTAAAAGGAAAAAGAAAACTGGATCTATTATGTACACAGAAAACTCAAGAGAATTTAAAGAAAAAGTCCAAAACAAAAGAACTCAGTAATGTAGCAAGTTATAAAATTAACATACAAAAATCAATAACCTTCATATATACAAGATTCTTATTTGAAAATTTATAAATGAGAAGACTTCATTTATAATAGCAACAAAAATGATAAAATTCTAGGAAATAATTTATCAAGAAATGTGAAAAAATTTTATGAGGCAAAATTTAAAACACTCCTCAATGAAAAAAGTACACTTAAACAAATGAAAAGATATTTATTCTTAGATATTTATTCTAAGTGTTATAAAGGTGTCAATTATCCCTGTTAATTTATAATTTTAGCATGATACCAATACAAGTACTTTTCTGCAGCTGTATTTATTAATTCTAAAGGTCATGTGGAAAAACAAGCAAACAATAACAATAATAAAAATGCTGAAAAAGAGCAAATAAATTTTTCTACCATTTATAGAAACATACTATAAAGTCTTTTTAATTAAAACTGTGATATTGGCATATGAAGAGATAGAATGTCAAATGGAACAGAATGGAAAGTCCAGATATGGGTACAAGAATGTGTGAAGATTTAGTGTATGATAAAAAAGGCATCTTGTCTGTGGCCATGCCACCCTGAACAAGCCCGATCCCATCTGATCTTGGAAGCTAAGCAGGGTCGGGCCTGCTTAGTATGTGGATGGGAGACCACCTAGGAAGACCAGGTGCTGTAGGTGTAAAAAATAAAAAATAAGGGATTGTAAGCTGACAAGGTCCTTGCAATCTGTGAGGTCAACCAAGGGTTGCCTC